AGTGTAAAGCATACACAATGTCTTGTTCTTATTAATATACTCTCACAATACACCTCCAAAGTCAGCAAATAATAAATGTTCATAGAAGTAAACAGATTTTATACAATCAGAAATTTACCATTTAACAAATAAGCTCAAGTCAATTACCTCTTTTCAAATTGGAATCTTTGCTTCCTGTCAGAAATATTACTATGGGCTATTTTTCATGAAAGTTGAAGTTTAAAGTTAAGTAAAATTTTAGGCAAGATGCTAGTTGGATATATGATCTTTCTCAAATTGAAAACAGATTTCACTATCCTTAAAATTGTAAACATATGTGCAATTAAGTAACTGATAGGAAAGGTGTTGGAGATACAAGAGTTAAACAAAACAAGGCAAATAAACACTATGCAGTTGTTTTTAAAAGGTAGAGGTAGCCCTAACCAGTTTGGCTCAGTGTATAGAGCATCAGCCTGCAGACTGAAGGGCCCCGGGTTTGATTCCGGTCAAGGGCATGTATCTTGGTTGCAGGCTTGGTCCCCAGCCCTGGTTGAGGCATGTGCAGGAGGCAACCAATCGATTTGTCTCTCAGACTGAAGTTTCTCTCTTTCTCTTCCCCTCCCTTCCACTCTCCCTAAAAATCAATGGAAAAATATCCTCATATGAGGATTAACAACAAAAAAAGGTACAGGTATATGTTTTAACTAGAGGCCCAGTGCCTCCCTCCCTTCCCCCGGCTGGCCCTAACCCCTGGTCGAACTGCCAGTATAGGGGACAATTTGCATACTATACTTTTATTATATAGGATATGGAAACTTGTTCAAGAAACATCTGGGTGAAAAGAGCAAGTTGCATAAGAGTATGTATGGTATGGTTCCATTTGTGCTTGTGTGCTTTTAAAGTTATGAACAAAATTATTTGCCTACAGAAAAATTTCTAAAGACTATTCAAGAATCCTACTCACATTCTATAATAATACTAGAGGCCCAGTGCATCCATGCACCAGTGGGGTCCCTCAGCCTGGCCTGCGGTGATCAGCCAAAACAGGCAGTCCTATATACCCTGAGGGATGTATTAGTGCACAAAGCAGTATGTGGCTGGGGAGGAGCCCAAGCCCAGGCCAGGAGCTGCGCTGCTCCTGCTCATCGCAGCCCCACTACACATGCTGCCGGTACCACTCAGTAGGCTCGCTGCTGCTCCGCTACAGTCTCCATGCACCTGTCCTAGGGCAATACTGGTGCACCCATGACTGAGAAGTGGCCACAGGCTCATGCCCAGTCAGTCTCGATGCCTGTCCCAATCCCAGTCCTGGTCCAGATGGGGGAGGAGCGCACGGGGGGGAGGAGGGAGGGAGTGTCCAAGGGAGAGGCTCACGCCACCACAGCTGTGCTCGCTAGCCATGAGCCCTTCATCTGGCATCCACTGGTCAGCTGAGCAGCGCTCCCACTGTGGGAGCGCAGTGACCACCAGGGGGCAGCTCCTGCATTGAGTGTCTGGCCCCTGGTGGTCAGTGCACGTCATAGCTACTGGTAGAATGGTCACTTAGGCTTTTATATCCTATACTAGTGGCCCGGTGCACAAAATTCGTGCAAATTAAAAGGGAATTAACTAGAGGAAGTATTTTAATATTGCTATTTGCCATTTCTCAATAATAGAAGTCTCAGAGATGAAAGAAAATAAGAAAACTGTATATGAAAATCTCCCTCCTGTCAGAGTCTGGGGCACACTACGGGACCCAGAGTCAAGTCCCCAGCCACCCACATGCACCTCAAAATCGCGCAAGACCCAGACCAGGCCGGCCCCACGCCCATCAAGCCCCGCTGGGTGGGTGACGCAGCCTCAGGTCCCCCCATCAAGTCCTGCCAGGTGGGGGACATAGCCTCAGATTCCCCGTCAACCCCTGCCGGGTGGGGGGCACAACCTCAGGTGCCCTGGCCCCAGCGTGAGGGCACGAGGACCATTAGCACATTAGCTCTTTATTATATCCTATCTAACAAAGAGGGAATATGCTAATTGACCCTCAGGAGATCGCAAAGATGGCGGCACCCACAGCCAATGAGGAGGGAATATGTTAATTGATTGCCCTGCCCTCAAAGATGGCAGCACCCATAGCCAATAAGGAGGGAATATGCTAATGAACTGACCTGCCCTCAAAGATGGCAGTGCCCATAGCCAGTAAGGAGGGAATATGCTAATTGACTGCCCCGCCCTCAAAGATGGCGGCACCTTCAGCCACAAGATGACGGTGCCCAGTCCCCTCAGCCACGCCAGGGCACCTGCCTCTGGGGTCCCCCAGTTCCCTCAGCTCCTCAGACGCTCAGGGCCAGCCTGAGGCACAGGCAAGCCTCGGATGTTGGCTGCCTAGCCGCCCAGGGCCGCCCGAGGCTCAGGTAACCAGGGCTGGCTGAGGCTTGCGCTGCCGGCAGTGGCAGCAGCAAAGGTGTGATGGGGGCATTGCCTTCCCCTGATCACCGGGTTGCCTCCCGCCCCTGAGGGCTCCTGGACTGTGAGAGGGGGCAGGCTGGGCTGAGGGACACCCCTTCCAGTGCATGAATTTTCATGCACCAGGCCTCTAGTAGGATAATAAAGAGCTAATATGCCAATTAGCCCAGACGGTGGAACAACCTTCAGGAATGACCTTCCGGAACAAGCAGTGGGTGGGGCCATATGGGGTTGATGTGAGGGCCAAGGCAGCCAGGGGCGGGCTGTGAGGGCTGAGCCCCCTGCATGAATTTCATGCATCGGGCCTCTAGTATATAGATAATTAAGAAAGAAAGCCAAATCATTATCAATATTTCATGGTATGGAAACTGAAATGATTCTTTTTTAAAAAGTATTTTAAATGTAATATAAAAATGTGTAGATTAAAATCTTCATGTGCCTAAGTTGTTATCAAAGGAATTTGATAGATGCTGTAACAAAAACTCTTTCCTAAATGCTCTAACAGTGAACTTTAAATGGAAAAAATGTTCAATGACTAGAAAAACAAAAATATTAGCTTACATAGACAAAGGATTTTAAAAATTTCTAAATACTTAATGTTCATGTTACTTTAATTGACATATACATTAACAATTATTTGGAGAGCCCAGGCCAGCATTGCTCAGTTACATCAGCCTGTACAAGGGCATGTACCTGGGCTACAGGTTCAATCCCCAGCCCCAGTTGGGGTATATGCGGGAGGCAACCAATGGCTGTGTCTCTCCCACATCGATGTTCTCTCTTTCTTTCTCTCTCTCTCTCTCTCTCTCTCTCTCTCTCTC